CGCTGAGAGGCGCGGTTTCGCGGAGAGGAGCGCAGAGAGCGAGAGGACCGCCGTGATTGCTGCCCCGTGCAGCAACGCCGCCACCCCTATTACAGCCGTCGTCGCGTCGCTGCAAGGTCCGCAATTCCGCCTACTTCGTCTGAGGGATCGCGACTGTACCTAAACACATACATACCTGCGTGGTGATTCATAATATGAGAGGGATTATTAGTGTGGCTGGCTGACCCCTTATTGTAATGCCCTGCTTCCTCACAAGCAGTAGTCAGTAGTTTTCAGTAGCATTGGCACAGTAGTCGACCATGCAAGGGAAATGTCTATCCTTCTAGGGATTTCCTAGTGTCCATGAGGTCGAAGATAATATTTGTGTTCCCACCCCCCCCCCTCCCTCAATGTTCGCCGCTCGCCTCCTAAACGCTGCAACCTCTCTAGTGCTCTTGAAAAGTTTTATCAGATAGCTAGTCAGGTAGCACTTCACCGCAGAAGTCAGCCTTACTAAGATGTTTCATGTTCTTTCCTTTCGTCTCTCTCTAGTCAGCGGCTCCCTGAAAACAAGTCGACAAGATCGCATACCGCTCTTTTGTCGGCAGGTTTGACCCAGAGTTTTGCAGGACCCCTGATATGGAGATGATGGTCCATCGCTGTTCGCGGCACCACGAGTAATATTTGAGTCCAGCACCTAAATCATTGTTGGTATATGTGCGTAGGAGTGAAGGATTACCAAGGTAAACATTGTGTTGAGCTCTGAGAACCATGTCCTAATACATAAAGAAATATCGATAGTGGCGAAGGAATTGTCCGCATTTTCACAAGCGTGTATTAGCTTACCCCACAATTGCTATTCGACCTTCGGGGACCGTCAAATGTTCCTCTTTTTTGAACGACTTGCCACAACGTTGGAAACTTGTCCAGAAATTCTCAACAGTCATGTCATGTCTTCTGAATCAATACTTTTGAGAAGTCGATGTTTAAACAAGGCTTTCCAGATGTTGTGCGATATCTATTACGTTTGTGGTTGTCTTCTGCCGGTCGCAGCTACTACCCTTGTCTAATACTTACTCTGTATTGTGTTCTGTTGTTAAAAATGAAATAAAGTAATAATAAACGACTGACATCGCCTGCCCACATCGGCGTATTGCAGGACAAAACAGCGGGTATCCCGGTTCTGTGCTAGCCAGTAAACGCATACTACGTCCGGTTAGTGTGTTCTCCTACGAAACACGTTCTAGATTGCCTTCTTGAAAGTACCTTTCACTTC